GGTTCCGCGCTTTGATCAATGAAGCAGTCAGCGCTTCCTGTGTCAGAAGTCAGCTGAAGTGCTGGATACACAGACAATCCTGTGCTCAATGTCCTGTATTAGAGGGCAGGAGAGACATCAGGAGTCTTATAGAACCCCTTATGTCTCGGTAAAGAGAACCTGTCGCCTCCGAACGCTATCACTTAGGGCAGGGGTGGGGCAAACTCCGCCCCTCCTGCTGTTGGGGAACTACAAGTCCCACGAGGCATGTCAAGATTCTCACATGCATGACTCCCAGAGGCAGATGCATCGTGGGATTTGTAGTTGCACTGCAGCTGGTGGGCCGGAAGTTTGCCCACCTCTGGCATAGGAGGCTTGTTAGCCCTTTTGTGATAGCAATAAAGTTAAGTAAAAAAAAAAAAGCCTATACCTAACATGAGGCACATTCGTCCTTTTTGTACATAGGTGCACTCAGCAAGTGTTGTCCGTTCGAGGGGACGGGGACTTTAATATTTGTTTGGGGGTGTTTTAATTTTTTTCCCCTTAAATTAGAATTAAACTCTCCGGTTTTTGTTTTTTTGGGTTTTTTTTTTTGCATATATCTATTGTTAGCAAGCGTGCAGAAACATGACAAAAAAAGTTACCAAAACAGGTAAAAACGTACCTGTGTCTCCGCCGCGCGCTCCCGTCTGAAGATCTGGAGCTTCTCCGGCGGGCCGTGCAGGATGATGAGGGCGGGCGCATGCGCGGTAGAGATCTTCGGCGGGGAGAAGAGGAGAGACGCGGCGGAGGTGAAATGCACGCAGCCGGGAGCGTGCACGTCGGACAGACACTGCGGAACGCAAGGTGTCTGCTCTGGATCAGAGTCCGGCACCAGCGCTGTACAAGTGGAAGGAAGAAGATGATGGGATCAAGACGCATCGTTTAAGGTAAGTCCTTAAAGCAGCATGGAGGGGGAGGGGGGGATTGTGACGTCATTGTCACTTTAACTTAATTCCTATCACATGGGAAAAGGAGGGGGAGGCTCACGATCCCCCTATGTGATAGCATATTAGTGGTGACAGGTTCTCTTTCAGGTGACATCAGGGGTCTATTATACCTCTAATGTCAGCTTTGCACTTCAATGAAGCTGGTCATGTACAGATCGTGCTTCTTCCTCAGCCGGGTAAGGACAGCTCAGAAGCTGGGAGTGATGCAGGGGCGTCCCGAGGTCGGGTGTCACCCGGTCTCTAGACCAGGTGACACCCCGCCGTGTCGTCATCGCGCATGCGCGTCCATCTGATTGATGTCTGCCATCTTGGTGATGGACGCCGGCAGAGAGAGGAAGAGACGTTCACCCGCTGGGGTGAGGTACGCCGTCGAGTCCCCTCCTCTCTCCTGACACTGTCGGGCTCTCGGTCCGTGACAGAGTGCCCGACTTTTTAGCGGGGGGGGGGGAATGGGGGAATCCTCCGCACACCTTACAGCAGCCCGGGCCTATACAGAAGATGGTGCTTGCTGTGACAATCACGGATGGCACCGTGCAAGTACAAAGTATGAAGAGAAATCACCAGCTCTCAGTAGAATAATCCCCCCTTGTGATGCCACTGGAGTGATGCAATCAGCGTCGCTTCCGGCTTCATTCTGAGGAGAGGAGAACAGCAAAGAGACATTTGCTGGTCCCTCTGCTACGCACTGAGACAGCTGTGATGCTGGTCCCGGGCTCACAACAGGAGGGGCAGCAGAGCTTGGGAAGTAAAGCAGGGGTGCCGGGCAGGAAGGGGGGCAGGGCTGCACTGGTTACCTGCCCCTCCCCCCGCCCCCCGCCCCCACAGATTTACAACCGC